AGTAAGATAAGGTACAGAGTGCCTGGTATGCAGGATATTTTTAATGAACTTTAGTCCTCTTATCTTAACTCTTTGACGAATCTACCCTCTCATATGTAGAAGAGCGTTTTCCTTCAAAATAACCGTTATGTATTATTTCACTGAATTCTCTTCGGATGCTGCTGTACTTTATTTGGTCAGTCCTCAATAATAAAAGGTGCTATGTGACTCTTTTTTAAACATTTGGGGGGCGCCTGGGTGGCTCAGTCGGTTAAGCGTCCGACTTCGGCTCAGGTCATGATCTCGCGGTTCGTGAGTTCAAGCCCTGCATCGGGCTCTGTGCTGATGGCTCAGAGCCTGGAGCCTGTTTCAGATTCTGTGTCTCCCTCTCTCTCGGCCCCTCCTCCGTTCATGCTCCGTCTCTCTCTGTCTCAAAAATAAATAAAGGTTAAAAAAAAATTTTTTTTTTTTAATATAAATAAATAAATAAATAAATAAATAAATAAACATTTGGGTGAGGATGCTTATCTTCCCAGGTCATAGGAAACAGGTCAATTATATAAAATCTGCATAGATAGACATATTAAATGTTAATTTAAAAGGCACTTTGAACATCCTTTATAAGCAGTGCTAGAAGTAAAGAGGAATAGCAAGAAATATAAATGGGACATAGTCTCTGCCCTCTAGAATTTTACAGTCTAATTACTGAAATAAAACATACATAAATACAAAACTGCTGAGAAACAATGCAAGGCAATAATGCATACCTAGTTTTCCTGTTACTAGTCTTTCTCTCATGTGATCCATCACACAAACTGCTTCGTAGTTCTGACACACTGCATTCTAAATGCCCCTCCCCTTCTCTGCCTGAAAACCCTTAGTAGCTCCTTATAGTCCACAGTATGAAGTATGAACTTGGCCTGAGTTAAACATTTCCAAACTCATGTCCTAGAATATCTGGATAAATATAACGTCTGCTTCATACAAAGTCTCCTTATCCCCTGAACATGTGCTTTCCTTCTTTTATCTTTGCTCACATAATTTTCCCTACCTGATTTTACCTCTTCCTTCTTCCTTTTTTAAAAATCCACTTCCTACCTTCTAAGGCCCAGTTTAAGCTCACAGTCTAGGGCCTTTTCCATGAAGCATTCCCTTGCTACTTCAGTCTATGGAACTCCTTCCTCTTCTGTAGTACACACAGTCTTAGCATCCCTATATGGCACTCAGCATATACTATCTTGTGTTTTTAAATATTATTTTATGTATCTGTGGCTCCACTATAGTCTTATATATCCTTATGCTGTTTTACAGTCCTGGCATCTAGCACAAGGCTTTGCACAGATATCCTAAAAATGTCTGTTAATGTGAATACTAAGGATGAATCAAGTGCACTTACTCCTAAGACAGGTTTCTAATACTTCCTCCAGCAACCAGACACACTTTAAACCCATCACGTTCAACCTCTTTAACCCTTTTTTCCTACACAAATTAGTGTAAGCATCTCACCTAAATTGAGATTACTCTTTCATTTCAACCCTCAATGTTCCCAGGTTCTAGAAGACAAAACCCAATACTCACAGTGAACTTTATTTGGATTTGTCTGTTTCCGACGGGACATGTTTTCCTGATCCAAAAGTTCTGGCCTTTCCCAGTTTCACAACTGGATATGTTACTACTTCCTTGCAGGGTGCTGACCTACAATAAAAAACATATTGTTACCACATGCCATTTTTCCCAGAAATTAGACAAAATTAAAGATAAAAAGACTTTTAAAAAAGTTATTGAGCATATAAAACTCACCAGTTATAAATAATTGAACTAATTAAAGAAAGAAAGAAATGGGGGCACCTGGGTGGCTTAGTTGGTTAAGCATCCAACTTGGGCTCAAGTCATTATCTCACAGTTCGTGAGTTCAAGCCCCGCATTTGGTTGTGTGCTGACAATGCGGAGCCTGCTTGGGATTCTTCCTTTCTCCCTCTCTCTCTACCCCTTCTCCACTCGTGCTTTTTCTCTCACTCAAAATAAATAAATAAACTTAAGGAAGGAAGGAAGGAAGGAAGGAAGGAAGGAAGGAAGGAAGGAAGGAAGGAAAGAAAGAAAGAGAGAAATTTCTAGCACAACATCCAGGTCCTAAGAAGTTTAAGAAGGGACTCCTTCAAAGGATTTAGAGAATTCTACTCTAAATCTATCTGTGGAATCCAGAACACTGTTATGTGATCATGATCAAGGTCACCGGATAGAAAAGGAAGCAAAACACTTAGGTAACAGTTTTAGAAGCACTGCAGGCTCAAATGGATAACCCCCATGAATGTAAAAGGAAGCAGATGGAAGCTAAAGAGGGTGGCAGCTCACATGTTACACGCCCACTGGAAGTCAAGCCCTGCAATCTGCACAAATGGGAACCTCCAGATGTTTTTTCAAGAAGTTATCTTGCCTGGAGGTGACAAAGCACCACATCCCTGCGAGACAGGAAACATCTCAAAACTTTTAGGCATCTATAAATGAAATCAGCACAGGAAATAGAGCCTCTACCTAGCGAGGTAGGCACAGTGCTAGGCACTGTGGATGACAGGGCACTGAATCAAATCAGGCTTCCAATGTTGAAGATGAGCTCTCACCAGAAGAGCCAGATGCTATCCACACTGTTGAGTATTAATTCAACATTCCAGTGTGGAGTATCAACCTGGCCCTGCTCAGGCAAAGTTAATAACTTTGTGGCAAAGTTAATAACTTTAGTGCCTCTTTTTAATCCAGCCTCTGTGTAACAAAGAGATCAGTGGGAAGAACAAAGAGAAAAGCTCCCCAAAGGAGACGTGCTGCAGAGACCTGCATCTGCTTCCCTGAAACTGGAGGGAACAGATACATAAGCCTGGAGGTTCCTGGTTAGTTTCTAAGAAAGACTTTCCCAGCAGTAAGTGTTGTTAAAGAGTCTGAAATGGATTAGTAGTGAAAACTGAAATTTTCTATGAAAGGCACAGTGAAGTTGTATGGAAACCAATTTGACAATAAATTTCATATATTGAAAAAAAATAAAAATAAAAAAAATTTTAAAAAAAGGCACAGTGAATAAACAGATTAAAAAAAGAGATTCTCTTCCCTACCAAGGACAAGAATATGGATTTGGTCACCCTCTAAGTTTTCTTTCACTTCCTGCCCTTTCAAATTGTACTTATACTGAATAAGCAAGTAGTTTAATGCCTTAAGAGGCATTCTGAGAGGCTACTGCTAGCTATACTCTGCACTCCAGTTAGTGAAGACTCATCTCCTGTTATGCCAACTAACTCCTCCATGTAGCTAGAAAGGATCTCAGACCTGTAATCAGATCCTGCCTCCCCTTACCAAAAGAAAGAAACCGCAAATGGCAAAGACAGGCCTCCACAGGAAGTGGCAAAGGAAGCAGCTTTCAGGCAGTCTTCTATCATATCTGCATATCAAACACAGTTCTTTTTCAGACCTTTAATTAAAACAACAACAACAAAAAACCAGCTTCAAACGTATACAGTAAAATCAATTTTAACTAGTTAGAGGGCACTTTCTGTGAGCTAATGCTAATGGTATGTATTCTCTGTTCTAAGTTTTGTTTGCAGAGATCATTTCTTTCCAATCAAGTAGTTATTAGCATAAGCAGTGAAGGAATATTCACTTTGGGTCTTTTCCTGTGGAATCATAAAATGGAAAGTTGAATGAAATGCACATTATCATTTTCTCCCAACATTTGTAGAGCTACACCTCTCTATTATATAAGGAAAAATGAAATATTAACTAATCTTTAAATTTTCTCCTAATCAAGATCAGAAATTGAAACTGTGTGATAAAGATAATGAAGATCCTTCTGAAGGAAGGCCAAATAACTTGAGACATGCTCAATTCAGATCATCTTGGCGAGGCAACAGTTCAATACTGAAGCCACAAGTCAGAAACAGAGATGAGCATCTGCATATTGAAATAGGCAGTATCCACTGCATCTCACAATCCTCCTAGCGGCCAAATGGGGAACTGACCAGATGGTACCCAATGGGACTTCACACCTGAGGGATTACGTGGGGGAGGGGGGGGATAAGCAAATACCCTCCTCTACCTCAAAAATTAAAAAAAAGTCAGTGGGTCGTGGACTCAATAAGGAAATAAATAAGAAAAGACATACATACATACATACATAAATGGCAATATAAGTGCATTCTTGACTACATAGCAAGATCTCAGAGGTTAGACGACCGTTTTATAGGCCATAAAAGGTAATAAAATTCATAGACGCGTTGCCCTAAAGATCATGCATTCAGTTCTTCTTTTAACACTGCCTCAGTTCCCAAGACTGAATCTGAAACTAACACAAAAATGTAAATGGAGAGCCGCCTGAACATCACCACCATCTGGAAGAAAAAACGTAATGGGAAGAAAGTAAACGGTGAGGTTCAGGTTTACAAGGGATTCTACGTAAAAAGGAAGGAAGCTTTGCCTTTAGAACGAGGTTAAGAGTCCTTTGGAGGGAGGCCAACATCGCCCCTTAACATTGTCCCTGCTCTCCCACAGGTGTTAGGTTGCAGCTTTCAGGACACACCACAGACTTTAGCATGGGGGAAAAAAACAAAAGGAGCAGGTGAAATCCAAGCTTTATGAAAAGAGGGTGCACTCCCACCTCCAGCTCTGGTGCAGTTCCCACGGAGCAAAGTAAACTCGCCCGAATCCCAGTGATTTGTATCTGCCAAAAAGGAGAGGACGAGAAAGCTGGTCACGTAGCTGCCTCACTGTTCACCCTGTTCCCACTTTCTTTGGTCTGGAGAAGGTGTACAATCAGCCGAGATGGTCCCTCTGGCTTCGATCTTCTGAGCACAGGTAGATACCCAGGAATTACCGACAAAAGCCAGAGGTCTTCCGAGGCGGCTCAGACAAACCCTCAGACGACACAGTCTTCTCAGAAATCTAAATTTAGAAGCCGTTCTGCGAGACCGCGACGCGGGACTGACACCCGGGTCTGCACTCCCACGCCCATCCTCCTCCTCCCCCGGCTCCACCCCAGCCTGTCAGACGCCGGGGCCGCCCCGGTAGTGCCCGGCCCAGCCCGACCTGGGCCCACCGCGGGAGGGCGGCGGCGCGGACGCCCCTCCCGCGCCCGAGACCGCCAGAGGGACTGAAAGAGGAACGGCCCGTGGGGAGCCAGCCGGGTCCGGCCTCGTCTGGGGAACCCGGCGCAGGGGGAGCGTCGGAGCCTGGGCTACCCCCGCCCTCCGGCCAGAGCGAGCACCAAGCCCCCTCCCCAGACACAGACAAAAGGACCGACAGCGGGCGAACAAGGGAGAGAGCGGGGAGCCCCTGCATCCTCAGCCTAGCCCCGGAGGAAAGGAGACGGGGGTCTTTTTACCCGGAGCCTCGGCGCACCGCGGCGCGCCGCGTCCCTGGGCCCCGCCTCCGGACAGACGGACCGCCGGACAATGGGCCCCGGGCCGCAGCTCGGGCCGGCCGGGCCGGGGCTCTCCGGGACTGAGCCCCGGCAGGCGGAGGGCGGTTTCGGGCCAAGCCGGTGGTGGGGAGCCGAGGGGCGGCGCTGCAGACGGACAAAGCCAACGGCAGACAGACAGACGGAGGGGGAAAAGATGGCGACGCGGGCGGCGGGAGCGCGCTGCTCGCGCACCCGCAGTGAGTGGGGCGCGTGCACGAGCCTCTCCTGTCTCCCTCCCCCCTTCTCCGGCTTGGTCCCCCTCCCCGCTCCCCAGGCGCGCGCCCGGCGGTGTGGGCGGGGCTTGAGGAGAGGGGGGGTCTGGAGAGGCGGGACTAAAGGAGCATCCAATCACAGACTTTGGAGGGGGGCCTCGCCTCCATCCTCGCGCCCCGGAGACCACCCAGCCTCGCCCCCTCTTTGGTCTTTCTTCAGCCCCTTCAGCACCCCCCAGCAACCTAACCTTTCCTGGACCTGTGAACTCCACCCTGACAGTCAGCTCCGATCCTGGTTTCTTACCTCACCTTTGAATTCAGCCACAAAACCCACATCCCCCAACCACAGCTCCACCGCAGGCTCCCCCTCTGCTTAGCCCAACCTTAGTCTCTCCCCCAACCCAAACCCTCTTCTCTTGCTTTCCCCGACGCTTCACGGTTTCTTCGTCCGCCTAGACATTTAATGTGTACCCAGACCTAGGGGCCACAGGCCTTTGTAGGGGGGGGCCACGTTCTGCTGTCCAAACTTCAGAGGAGAAAAATCTTTAGACTTCAGGAAAATCTTTAGATTTATTTTAGGCATTTAAGTCTCCAACATGCTTCTTAACTAGTAAAATAACAGCTGTAGACCTAGGGGCATAGGATACAGAATAGCACAGGATATAGAATAGAGTAACTTTGGCACTGTTACCACTTAAGGGGCATTTGAGGCAATAGAAAGTGGTTAGATTCACTTCCTAGTAAGACACCTCCTTCCCTTGTCATCATCCCTGCTTCTTCACTACTTTGTTTCCTTCCTCTTATTCTGTCTTCTTGTAGAACGCCTAAGCTTGCCTCTGACAGAGCTTACTTGAAGTAGGAAATGCGATGAAAAGCAGATGGGATCTGGTAAGAGCAGATCTAGCCTGGAGTCCCAGCTCTGCCACTGACCAGCCTGGTGGCTTTGGACAAGTCCCTATTCTGAACCTCTGCTTCCTGAAATGTAAAATGGATAATAAGGTAATAATTCCTAACCTCTATTCTCATAGGGTTGTTGTAATCATAGGATTAAGTAAAATGAAGATATGAAAGTATTGTGTAAGTAGTTCTTGTGCTTCCTGGCCCCAGGAAGGCAGCAGAGCTAATGTTTTTAAAGCAACAAGGCCTGGTATTTGCATAAAGGACTCTTGCAAAATGTTCTTCCCATAAATCTCCAGTGAGATGATATCATTGTCTGCATCTTGTGTTTAATGTGAGAGAATGGCTGTATTGAAAGAACTTCGTACTTCACAAGTGTGTAGTAAATAGTTTCATTCATTCATTTATTGTGGCTGGGATTTTTAAGTAGAAATTATTCTTTAATTTCATTTAAGGAGACATTTTAATTCCTAAGTAGCCAGAAAATGGAATATTCTCATCTAACCAGAAGGTTTTTAGACAGTTTCATATCAGAATGCAAGCTGAAGGAATGCCTGGGTGGCTCAGTTGGTCAAGCATCTGACTCCTGATTTCAGCTCAGGTCATGATCTCACCGTTCATGAGTTCAAGCCCTGCATTGGACTCTGAGCTGACAGCACAGAACCTGCTTGAGATTCTCTCTCTGCCCCTCCCCTCCTTCTCTCTCTCTCCAAAAAAAAAAAAAAAAAAAAAAAAGTGCAAACTGGAATAAATTGCACTACTAGGTATTTACCCAAGGGTTACAAAAATATTAATTCAAAGAAATACATGCATCCCAATGTTTTTAGGAGCATTATCAACAATGGCCAAATTATGGAAAGAGCCCAAATGACCATTGACTAATGAATGGATAAAGAAGATATAGTGTATATATATACATATATATATACATATATATGTATATATATACACATACAATGGAATATTACTCAGCCATCAAAAAATAATGAAATCTTGCCATTTGCAATGACATTGATGAAGCTAGAGAGTATTAGGCTACGTGAAATAAGTCAGAGAAAGACAAATAGCATATGATTTCATTCTCATGTGGAATTTAAGAAACAAAACAAATAAACATGGGGAGGAGAGAGACAAAGCATAAAACAGATTCTTAACTATGTAGAGAAGAAACTGATGGTTACTGGAGGAGAGGTGGGTGAAGGGATAGGTTAAATAGGTGATGGGTATTAAGGAGGGCACTTGTGATGAGCACCAGATGTTGTATGTAAGTGTTGAAGCAGTAAATTCTACACCTGAAACTAACATGTGGACTAATTAGAATTTAAATAAAAACTTGAGGAAAAAAAGAATGCAAACTGGAATATACACTGGCTTTTATACTTAACAGTAATTCCTGATGAGCTGAGACTGAGAGATGCAAATATAACTTTATTATGTCACTCTAAAGTTGACATAGATGATATTTTCTTTTAAAAAATGTTTATTAAAAAATGTTTTTTAATAAAATGCTTATTGGGGTACCTGGGTGGCTCAGTTGGTTAAGCACCTGACTTTGCTTCAGGTCATGACCTTGCAGTTGTGAGTTTGAGCCCCCTACATGGGGCTCCACACTGACAATGCAAAGTCTGCTTATGATTCTCCTTCTCTGTCCCTCTTTCTCTCCACTCCTCCCTGACTTGTGCTCTCTCTCTCTCTCGCTCTCTCTCAAAATAAATAAATAAACTTTAAAAATATTTATTTTGAGTGAAAGTGAGAGAGAGAGCAGGGAGGGGCATAGAGAGAGAGAATCCCAAGCAGGCTCTGTGCTGATAGCTCCTCAATGCAGGGCTCAATCCCATGAATGTGAGCTCATGACCTGAGCTGAAATCAAGAGTCGGAAGCTTAACCCACTGAGCCACCCAGGCGCCACAACATAGATGATGTTTTCAACATGAAAAAAGCAAGGAGATAAAACATTAAGAGAAAGCCTCCAGTGAGATTTCTTGGCCTCATCATTAAGTTAGTATGTGAAGCTGGGCAGCTTGTTCTGATTCCTTGAGCTGCAAATAAAATAGGATCATAATGCTATTCTTATAACCCCCCTGTGTCTCCGATGTGGTGTGACTCAGGGTTATAATCAAATAAGGGAAAAATTACTAAATAAGGAATTAGTTTCTTTTTCCTCTGTTCTCACCTAAATTTGTGTATCTAGAAGTCTTTTTCATTAATCATTTTCAGCTTCATTTTTTACTTCCACTTTCCCAATCAACTCACAGAGCTGTGCTATTCTTTTGCCATTTCAACCCTATAAACTTTTCCTTGAAATAGCTTCCTAATCTGTTTTATATTTACGGGCTTCTACAATGACCTTGTTAGGGCTTTACATTACAACTGTGTTGGTAAGATAATTTTAAAAATTAATTTAAAAATTTATTAAGATGGAAAATTTTATTAAGATATAATTCACATATCATGAAATTCACACTTTTTGAGAGGGAGTAAAGATTTTTTTTTAAATTTTTTTTTCAACGTTTATTTATTTTTGGGACAGAGAGAGACAGAGCATGAACGGGGGAGGGGCAGAGAGAGAGGGAGACACAGAATCGGAAACAGGCTCCAGGCTCTGAGCCATCAGCCCAGAACCTGACGCGGGGCTCGAACTCACGGAGCGCGAGATCGTGACCTGGTTGAAGTCGGACGCTTAACGACTGCGCCACCCAGGCGCCCCAAGATTTTATTTTTAAGTAATCCCTCACCCAACATGGGGCTCAAACTTACAACACCGAGATCAAAAAGTCTGCTCTACAAGCTGAGCCAGGCAGGAGTCCCTGAACTGCACACGTTTAGAGTGTGTATTTCACTGGTTTTTAGTATATTCACAAGTTTGTGCAACATCACCATTATCTAATTCCAAAACATTTTCATTGCCCCAAAAAGAAACTCCATACTCATTAGTAGTCATTCCCACTCTTCCTCCGCCCCTCCCCCATATCCCTTGGCAACCACTCATCTACTTTCTGTCTCTGTGGATTTGCCTATTCTGGATGTTTCACATAAATGGAATCATACAATATGGGGCCTTTTGTGTATGTTCCTTTCCCTTAGCAGAATGTTTTCAAGGTTCATTCATGTTGTAGTATGTGTCAGTACTTCATTCCTTTTTTTATTTTTTTAAAATTTTTTGAGTAAATTCTACCCCTAATATGGGTTCTAACTCATGACATTTGGAGTCTAACTCATAACCATGATCAAGGGTCACATGCTGTACAAACTGAGCCAGCCAGATGCCCCAATACTTTATTTCTTTTTATGGCCAAATAATATGACAGTGTATGGATATAATACATTTTATTTCCATTTACCAGTTGATGGATATTTGTGTTGTTTCCACTTTCAGGCTATTCTAAAAAATGTTGCTGTGAACATTTGTGTATAATTTTTGTATGAACATACATTTTCAATTCTCTTAGGTATATACCTAGGAGTGAAATTGCTGGGTCATATGGTAACTCTATGTTTAACTTTTTTGAGGAGCTGCCAAATTGTTCCCAAAGTGCCTGCATCATTTTATATTCCCACCAGCAATGTAGGTGGGTTCCAATTTATCCACATCCTAGACTATACTTGTTATTATTTTTCTTTTTCACTATAGCTATTGTAGGGGTATGAAGTAATATCTCATTGTGGTTTTGATTTACCTTTTCCTGATGGCTAAAGATGTTGACCACCTTCTAACGTGCTTATTATTGACCATTTGGAGAAGGTTTTAGCAAGACATGGGCTCAATGACACTTTCCACAGATCTTTACTTTCATGGTTTGAACAAAGTTGCAATAATGTCATCTATTCCGAAAGTTATCCAAACACACTATGCTACTGAGGGCATGGGGAAATAGAAACTCTCATACATTGGTGGCAATGTAAATTGAACTACCTCTTTCAAGGGTGATTTGGCAATATCTATTAACATTAAAAATATACCTACCCTTGATCCAGTTCTGCTTCTGGGAATTTACC